ATATTAAATGACCTACGCCCGACGTACTCATCAAGTGCGCCCTGCGTCGGTGTAACATCCTGTTTCGGATCGTTATGTGATCTAAGGCTCGTGGGCCGTAATCCAGGTATGAGAAGGTTTTGAGGCCTTAAAGGAGAAAGGTTTAGGCCCTTTTGGATATGGATAAGGTAGGTTGTGTGATAAAAGATTTCGGGTTGTGCTTTAGAGCCCAAGGGTATAATTGTAATTTGATAACTCAGTCTTTTATGGATTTTTGGGTTTTTATTTGGGAAGTTTTAAGGCTATGGTGTGTTGTTAGAAGAGTAGGGCTTCTCACCACCTTTCCATGGATATAAGTTCGGGAAAGACCGTGGGATGAGTCCATGGCAAGTGAGGGAGTGTTGTACGACTACGGGGTGTCGTAGCATTCACTAGCCGGTGAGGGAGTGTTGTAAGACTACGGGGTGTCGTAGCATTCACTGGTCAGTATGTGACGCAGAGGGATTTTTAGGCTGGGTAGCCTTGCCTTTGGGTTTTTAGGAACCTAGTAGTTGGACCAGGTGCGACACTGATAGTACCAGCGATGGTCGGAAACTGTTATACTTCGAGTGTTAACGTATCCCTCAGCGGGAATGTCAAAAAAGAGAGGTCAAACTAACGCCAAGCATGGCCTGGCTAGAATTTGGTCATGTCCAGTTTGGAGCCAAGGCCGGGCCTTCGCCAACACGGAGTCATTAGTATGGTGGTTAAGGCGCAGAATTGCGCCTTGCTTTCCTCCGTTGCTAGTCTGTAGCTATTCCGTAGCTAATTACCTACGGATTTTACTTCCGTCTCTAATCTGTGGCTATTCCGTAGGTATGTACCTACAGAATACCTACGAATTCATTTCCGTCGCTATTCCGTAGGTAATTATCTACGAAAATTTTCCGTAGCTATTTTTCTGTTGGAAAACACCTTGTTTTCTAGTAGTGATTTAATATTATCCGATTTAATATCAGTCTTTGTATTTTGAAAAATTAACGTTCCTCTTGTCATAAATCTTGTTGTCTTGAATGTGATGATGGACCATGTTGAACAAATCGAAGCATATGTTCGTGAATAAATACGTGGACAAATGGAAGCATATCAACAACAAATCAAGATGGAGGATGTTAGATTATTAACCGACGATTTTAGGGATGGCTTCATGAAGATTTTTTAGAGTTACCAACTCGGACAGTCTTGTGATGGATTGGTCGAAATAGGCATTGCTCGTTAAATTGGGAATTGTAGTCTGAAGCTATTTTTATATCACATCACAAGTGACGTACGCTATAATAAATAACAATGGCGAGTAATTAAAATAATGGTTAAATTAAAGAGTTTTTTTTTTAATAGCAAGAATTTTATAGAAAACAAGCTAGTAAGAAGCTAGAATTACATGAGTTTGATACATTCTCGTGAAGGGTTAAGACACCAATCGACCCAGTTAAAGAAATAACCTTTTCTAGATCGGTATTTAATCCATTCGAAGGCCAACATCTTCACCTCGCTAGCCAACATACGACAACTCATAACCTTGCCATTAAATATTTTATTACACACTGTAAGTCCAGATAATCCAAGAAAAAGCAGAAAGCACAACCGATACAACCTTGCTTATGCACCCAGGGGTACCTGGACACACAACCGAAGAGGTCATGGAGAGAGCTGCTATCCACCAAAACCTGATTCCACCAATTGTTGATGGCAGCACGCACCTCCCTAGCGACTAAACAATTCAGAAAGAGATGGGACTCTGTCTATAACAAAATGTTGCAAAGGGGACATAAATGCGAGCCAATAAATACCCCAATTTTCTCAAGATTACTACGAGTAGGCAGCCTTTGAAGAACAGATCTCCATACAAATATATTAACTTTACCGGGCAAGATTTTGTTCCAAGGAGTATTGTCCTCAAGGCATATCAAAAGATGGTTATCAATAGTTTTCCTACACGACGCCACAGTAAAACATCCTTCATTGTCTTCAATCCACTTCCATTTGTTATCCTGAAAAACAAATAAATCGTTAATGTCGACCTGATTACGCATTAGGTACAAGTGAAGATGGTTGATCAGGGGCGGAGTTAGAATTTTAGATTAGCGGGGGCTAAGACGTACATCGTAATATATATATATATATATATATATATATATATATATATATATATATATATATAATAAACCATTTGAATGAGATATATGTTTATACTTTACGTGAGTTTATAGTCATATCATAAAAAAAATTGTAATAAGGAAAGTAATAATACATACTGCAATGTTACTAGTATAGTTATATGTTTGGTGTTTTCTGAAAAAATTAAATAATAAATAATGAATAATGTATAACAAAATATTAGTATCCACCAACATTAATTACAATTAAATGCATACCAAAGGAGATGAAATATAATTGACGGTGGGCTTTAATTGATAATACACTAATACCAATGGAGTTAGGGGGCAAAACACCCACTAGCCCCCTACTCTCTCCGCCCCTATTGCTGATGACACCCTAAGTCCCTCCTTTTCTAGCAACAACTCTGGTGCGACCAATCCCACCACCAGTCCCATGTAATGACATAATGACATCGCGCCATATTCCTGTATTATCATTTCTAAACCGCCACCACCACTTAGCTAGTAAGGCATAGTTGAACGCTCTGAGACTACCAATGCCTAAGCCACCATTGTCCCTCGAGTTAAGAACTTTCTTCCAGGCAACCCAAGGAATTTTATTTTTATCGGAAGAACCACCCCAAAAAAACCTACACCTGATACTCTCAAGACGATTAATAACACTAGTTGGGGCTTTAAAAACTGAGAACAAGTATGAACCCATGGTACCGAGAACCGCCTTGCAAAGGACAAGCCTACCCCCAAAGGAAAGATTTCGAGCTTTCCATTTTGAGAGCTTATTGTTAAATTTATCGATTGAGGACATCCAATTTGATTTTCAGCTCATACTAGATCCAATCGGAGTACCAAGGTAGATGAAAGGTAATTCACCAACACTACAATTTAACCAATTGGCCATATCACCAATTTGAGTGTTACTAACACCAATCCCATAAACCTTGTTTTTTGAAAGATTAACTTTGAGGCCAGAGGCAAGATAAAAACACCTGAGAATCCTCAAAGGATTAGAAGCATTCTCCTTTTACCACTCTCCCAAAAAAATAACATCATCCACATATTGAAAAAGAGAGATGGTGGGTCCACTGTTCGGAAGAGTTACCCCTTTATATATTCCTTTTTCCATGGCCTCTGATATAACAATCTTTAAAGCTTCGGCAGCAATGATAAACAGGAAAGAGGATAGAGGATCTCCTTGTCTAACTCCCGTATGAAGCTTGAACTCCTTAGTAGCATTGCCATTAACAAGGACATAAACTTTAGCCGAGTTTAAACAAGCAAAAATCCATTTAATCCACCTATTATCAAACCCCATGAGATGAAGAATGTTGTCTAAAATCTCCCAACTAATGCAGTCATAAGCCTTATCAAAATCAACTGAAGATAAACATTTTTTTTCCTCTTTCTAGCCCAAGTGATGACTTCATTAACGGCAAGTGGACCATCAAGAATGTTCCTATCTTGAACATAAGCCGATTGTTCTTGACTAATGACAGTGTTGATAACATTCTTAAGCCGATCAGCAAGAACTTTAGAGATAATTTTATAAATGGAACCGATGAGGTTTATCGGCCTATAATCACCAATACTAAGGGGGTCTTTAACTTTCGGCACCAATGTAATGAAGGGGGCATTGCTTCCGGGATTGATAATAGCATGCTCCTCAAAATATTTCACACCTTTAAAAATGTCCGGACTAATAACATTCCAGAACTTTTTTATAAAAGCAAAAGTGAATCCATCAGGGTCCGGGGCTTTTTCATTACCACAATTCGAAACCGCAAGTTTAACCTCTTCCATTGAAAACGGACGGACAAGAAAATCGTTATGGTCATCAGATAACCTACTAAATTTGTTACTATGAAACACAGGCCTGTTATGAATCGGCACTTCGAACTTTTTCTTGAAGAAGACAAAATTTTCATTTTTTATCAAATTCGGGTTAGTAACCCAAGAACCATTAATCTTCAAGCCATTTATACGAGACCCCTTAAGATTAGCGTTGATAATGCCGTGAAAGAAACTTGAGTTTTCATCGCCATCAATTAACCACTTGCATCTTGATTTTTGTTTGAGATCGTAAATTCGTAAAGTTTCAATCTCTTGTATTTTAGCAATACTATCCTCTCGCTCCTTTAAGGCATTATCATCAACAGTCCCCGCTTCAATCAGCACATCAATAGCCACAACATGTTTTTTAAGATGATCAACCTCAATTTCGTTTTTCTCTCTTTTTTAAGCCTTCCACTTATTCAATTCAGCTTTGACTAATCTTAGCTTTCGAGAAAGTCTCTCAATCTCAGAAAAAACATTAAGACCATCACCATTTTGAGCCCACACTCTAGAGACGATATTCTCCAACTCCGGGTCTAATAACCATGAGTTAAAGAATCTAAATTGGGACGGGCCAAAGTCTTGACAGTTGGTATCAAGAAGCAAAGGGCAATGATCAGAGTGAAGCTTGGGTAAAGCGATAACACTTGAGTTAGGCCACATAGCATCAAATCTGTTAGAGATTAAGAACCTATCCAATTTGCTTAGTTTAGACCCATCCTTTTTCATCCAAGTAAATCTTCTACCACCAATGTTGATATCCAACAAAGAGTTTTTGAGTAAATGAAATTTTGACACTTATCAAAGTCGATATCGGGGTTAATTAGTTGGCTGCCAACAAACAACATTAACGCTATATTAAATAAAACATTCATATTAGTTACATTTTATCATCAAATTAATACTGTGTCAAATATCACAGTTAACGCAAGGAAGTAGAAACACAATAACATAATAAGACCAACATACAAATATTTTCATATTCAAAATGAAAATCATCGGTTGTTACTTAAACACCATAAGATTTTTGTCGGGTTCATTGATAACCAACTTACTTCACGAACCCCGTTTATGATAATAAACTAGTGAAAGCCAATTTTTTCCATTGTTGAAGTTTCTGATTCTATCCTATCCCTGACAACATAAAACCCTAATAGAGGAGGAGATGGTTGAGCTACACAACCATGCTTGTTGTGTTGTGAACTGGTGATGGACTTGCACTTGCTGGTTCAACCTTTCTCATCATAAACCCTATTGGTGTATGAACACTAGCATCTTCATCATGATAAGCATACGCAAATCCTCCATGTCTAGTCATATCCATTCCTTGCATTTCATCTTCTGTTGACACCCTCAACAAGTTGAGTTTTTTCAATGCATAAAAGAGTGGGGCCATAGTCACACTCACCCATCCAATGATTACCAGTATTTGGATGATCTGAGCCGCTAGTAACTTTCCACCACCGCCCATTAAAAGCCCATAAGGTCGTCCAGTTGCATACACCTCGTGAACATACTGTTTCTTCGCAAACAACCCTGTGAATAATAGACCCCATGACCCACAACCACCATGCAATTGTGCTGCCTCTAGTGGGTCATCGTACTTAAACTTTTCTGCGAGTACGTTACATCCTATTAGAACCCAAGCTGCAACAAAGCCGCATACGACTGCAGCCCATGGCTCAACCACTGCACAACCGGAAGTAATAGCTGCAAAACCTCCTAGCAAACCATTACATACATCGGTCACATTCCAATGGCCAACTAGTAGTCGTTTCCCAAACAAAGTAGTTAGCGCTGCAGTGCATCCAGCCAATGTTGTGGTGACAGCTGTTCTTCCAACAGCGCTCCATTGACCATAATAACTATTCGAAGTACCATAAGATTTTGAGATTGTCAAGAAAGAACCAGGATTGAAACCATACCAACCGAACCATAGAAGGAAGGTGCCCAACACTACAAGTGAGGCACTGTGTCCACGTAAGGCTACGGACCTACCAGAACGATCAAATCTCCCAATTCGTGGACCTTCGATTAACGCACCCCAAAGACCAGCGATCCCACCCACCATGTGGACCACACCAGAGCCAGCAAAGTCGATGGCTCCTGATCCAAAGAGAAGACTGCCACTTGTCCGTGTGGCACTGGCCCAACCATCACTAGACCACACCCAATGTGACACTATCGGATACACAAAACCTGTAACGATTTAAATCAACTTGTTAGAAATAGCTGGTGAATTCGTAGGGAATTGAGAGACTAAATAATTAATTAAACGGTGAATTTGGACTTTTTAGGCATAATCAACCGACTTTTTTGACATAATCAACAACAAATTAAACACCATTAAAATTAAAAAAGAAAAAGAAACAGCAATTATACAATTTTGAATAGTAGTTGTTCAAGTTGTGGTTAAAGAAAGGGGTTCAAATTAAACGTGAAACCAGCAAGATGCATGTTCTTAATTAACATGATCGATCTAATTAGAATCGATAAACCAAATCTTAAAAAAACATCGTTCCTAATTAACTTTTAACTTCTATTAAGAAAAATAATCATATATAAAATTATAATGTTAAAATTTGGAATATATTAAATATATATGTATAAATATATAAATGACTAGTTGTACTGCTGACCTAAGATATAGAACTTTATTGAATGTGGTCCATATATTTGTTTCTGTTTCAATTTGTGTTAATATAAAACAGACATTATTAAATAACTAAATTAATGGAAAGAGAAGAAAATTATGAGATTAAATATACAGTTGTATCAGGTAAGCCACAAACTGAGTTTTTGTAATAGATAATTTCAAAGATAATTAACAAAAGATAAGCAGTGAAGGAGACCTGTCAAGAACGAAGAGTAAATCAGGTAAGCCACAAACTGAGTTCTCTCTGCAATGGAACCACTGGTGATACCCGCAGCAGCTATGGCAAATGCCCACTGGTAAAGAAAGAAACTGTAGTCGTAAACCGCTGATGGGATCGACTTCAGCCCAAAATAGTGTTTGCCAATGAAACCATTGGAGGGTCCACCGAAGGCAAAAGCAAATCCGAAGATGTAATAAGAAAGACCTCCAGCAGCGGCGTCCAAGACGTTCGTGAGCATGATGTTCATGGTGTTCTTGGCCCTGACGGAACCTGCGCAGAGCATGGCAAATCCAAGTTGCATGGCGAACACTAGGTAGGCGGAAAAGAGGAGATAGGTGTTGTCAATGGCGTATGTGGTGTTGGTGAATTTGTCCGAGGTGGCGGTGAAGCGGGTGCAGATGTAGTCGGCTGCAGCAGTGGCGTTGGCAGCAAGGCCGAGGAGTGGGGTTAGTTCTGCGGCGGAGCAGGTGGGGAGGGAAGTCATGGTGACAGAAGGGAGTGGTGTTTGATGGAAGCGAAGTGATTAGTGATTTAGGGTTTTATAGAGCGAGAGATGAAATCTTGATCTGTAAGGAGTACTGAGGTCAACGCTCCGTGATCACCAATTGGAAAACAAATAATGTGGACTTTAATTTAGTAGTGTTTGATTACAACTCAAATTGAACGGTAAAAGATTTAAAGGAACAATATAATAATAATTTAATATATTTAACTATATTACTTTAAGAATTGTTTTACTTAAAGGTAGGGCGAAAATCAATGACACGATAACGCGAAAATCAATCACATGATAAGGCAAAAATAAACGGTATGAAATGTAATTGAAATAAAATTAAAATTTGAATTTGTATTCTTGTTCGGTAAAAAATACGATTTATATTGTGTCTTAAAAGTCCAAAAGGAAAAAATAATTTAAAGATAGTATGAACGAAAAAATAACATATAAATAGTCTGAATGATAAAAAAAAATAACATTAACATAGTCTTAACGAAAAAATAACAAATTGATAGTCCTAATGAATAAAAAAATAAAAAAATAAAAAAAAACATGAATGATACGAACACATAATTTCACAAAAAAACGAAAAAAAATGACAACAAAAGGACAAAATACCATGCGGGGGGTGGACCAGGTAATTAGGAGGCTATGTGAATAATTCCCCTTAAATAAATTAATAATGTAGTATCTTATCGTTTTTTGTGGCGTGTCATGTTTGTAGTGTTTTAATCGACTCGTTTTCATGTTGATGAAAATAAAGACGACACCATGTCGTGTGTTGCCGTGTAGAGATGCACATTGTCGGTTCCAGACCGGTCTGGGTCAGTCTCAAAACGATTTAATCTTTTTGGGGTAAGTCTTAGAAAAGTTTGGTTTTTTCGGACCGGTCGTTATTTTTAGTCTGGTCACAACACCATGCCATGTCTTGATGTGTAGAGATGCACATTAGCGGTCTCATACTGATCTTTGGAAACAGTCTAATTTTTCGGAACGGTCTTTTTTCAGTCCGATCTTTGGTATCGGCCTCGTGGTCTTTATGTGCTTTTTTTTAGGTCCCGTTTCGATTTTTTTTTTTTTTTGGTTTTTTTGGTTTTGGTTTTGGTTTCCAGTTTTTCTGCTAACAAATATGTTATTAAAAAAATGATAGATTAAGATTTAATAAATTGATACACTTAAGTTTAATAAAGAAAAAAAGAAAGAAGTTAGATAACGTATGATTAAAAATTATATAATTAACACAAAAAATTTTAGGATATATGATCAAATAACAAGATAAATTATAGTCAAGAAAAACATGAGAGTGGAGACAACTTTTATTCCAATATTTGTGTTGAAATCATCAACTTTCTAATACATATGGCTCACTATTTATACAACCAAAATAAGATGAAAGATGAATGCACACTATGATGGTGCATTATTACACTCATAAAACACATTGAAATGGTTGTTACTAATGCTAAATAATGATAGAGTGTTAAGGGAGAAATGGGGAATCCAATGGTCATTCACAAACTAATATTTCATATCACTCCCCCTTGAATGACGATTGTATCATGCCTTGTTAAAACCTTAATAGGTAAAACCTCATAGGAAAAACCCTTTATTAAGGAAAAAGAGTACATGATTAATAATAGATATTAGAAACAATTGCCTTGTTAAAAACCTTGCTAAGAAAACCCAGTGGGAAAAACATAGCTAAGGAAAAGAGTACAATATGTTTCCAAGTCCCCCTGATCAGCACATCACTTGATTTCCTTGAAGCGCCGCATAGCAATGTTTTGTACCATGTTTTCAAATTTGGATGTAGGAAGCGCTTTAGTGAACAAATCGGGAAAGTTGTTACTTGATTGAATTTTCTGGATGTTGATGCCACACTCTTTTTGAAGATCATGTGTGAAAAAGAACTTGGGTGATATATGCTTGGTTCTGTCTCCTTTTGATAAATCTTTCCTTGAATGGAGCTATACAAGTCGTATTATTTTCATATAGTATGGTTGAAACATCCTTGTTAGAAGTTAGACCACAATTCTTGCGAATGTGTTGAGTTAACTTTCTTAACCAAATACATTCATGACTTGCCTTATAGATGGCTATAATGTCTACATGGTTAGAATAAGAAGCAACTAAATTTTGTTTAACATAATGTCAAGAAATTTTCTTGCCTCCATAATTAAATAAATAACATGTTTGAGTTTGAGCTTTGTGTGGATCAGATAAATGTCTAGCATCTGCATAACCAATTAACTTTGCATTTGATGAATTTGATTAGTATAAATTCATATACATTGTACCTCGAAGATACCAAAGAACGTGTTTGACTCAATTCCAGTGTCTTCTTGTTGGACAAGAACTATACATTGCTAATAAGTGTACGACAAAAGATATATCAGTTCTTGTATTAATAATAATATATATTAGTGCACCAATAGCACTAAGATATGGTTCTTCGGGAACAAAAAGATTCTCATGTTTTTTACGATGCTGAAATTGGTCCTTTTTGGCATCTAAGTGCCTTACCACCTTCGGGTTACTCATGGATGTGGGATATTCATATAAAACCTTTTAATCACCTTTTCTAGATATTAATGTACAAAAACTTCATTTTTGTGTGCTCAATTTGAAGACCCAAACAGAATTTCATCTTAACAAGATCATGCATTTCAAAATTTTCAAGAAGTGGCATTTTCCAATTTTCTAGGAGTTCCAATTATGTTCAAATCATCTACAATAACATCAATTATGGTAAATTCTGATCCGGATCTTTTTATGAATACACATGGGCTTATTGGATCATTTTGGTAGCCATTTTTCAACAAAAATGTACTTAAACAATTGGACAACATATAGCCAGATTGTTTTAATCCATACAAAGATTTATTTAATTTTACTAGATATACTTCTCGAAAATTAGAAGTTTGTGCTTCTGGCACCTTAAACCCTTCTGGGATTTTCATATAAATACCATTGTAAAGTAAACCATATAAATAGGCGGTAACTACATCCATCAGACGCATCTCCAGTTTTTCATTTCATGCTGGATTTATTAGATAAGGGAATGTAATTACATCAACCACAGGAGAGTATGTTTCTTCATAATCAATTCCGGGCCTTTGGGTAAACCTTGTGCAACAAGTCTTACTTTATATCTTACAACTTCATTTTTCTCGTTTCTTTTGCGCACAAATACCCATTTGTGTCCCACTTGTCTTACTCCTTTTGGTGTACGGACTATAAGTCCAAAAACTTTTCGTTGAGTAAGAGAATTAAGCTCTTTATTTATTTCATCTTTCCAATTTGGCCAATATTTTCTATTCCTACATTTCTCAATAGATTTAGGTTCAAGATCCTCATTTTCTTTATAATCGCGCGCGTAACATGATATGAAAAATTATCGTCGACGTCTGTCTTATCTGGGTTCCATCTTATTCTTGTCATGACATAATTTATTGAGATCTCTTCATTTTCATAATTTTGAGGTACCTTAGTTTCTTTTGTTATGTCATTGGGCTCTTCTAGAGCTTCATTAATCTTTTCAAGAGATTTTGTTTCCTCTTTTTGGGCCATCAATTATATTTGCCCCATTTCATTTTCGAGGATTTTTATCTTTGGGACCAACTGATTTTCCACGCTTCAGGCGTGCCTAAGATTCAATTGCAGATGCAATTTTTTTCCTTCTGAGATATCAATTCTAATTGGAGCATTTACAACTCGTACATGAGACTTTGTTACTCACTTAGGGTCAGTAAATAAATCTTGCAACTGATATGCTTCATTTTGTAAATGAATTATCTTTTTCAAGTTCACATTGACTTTAATGACGATCTAAAACTGAGAGTAATAATTCATTGAAAGAGATTTTATTTTCCAGCTTCTTTATTTCTCCCTCTAATGTTGGAAAAACCGATTCTCAAAATGACAATCGTTAAATCTAGCTGTAAATAAATCTCCAGTTAATGGTTCTAAATAATTTAACATAGATGAAAATTCATATCCAACATAAATTCCCATTCTTATTTGAGGACCCATTTTTGTGCGGTGAGGTGGAGAAATGGGTACATAAATTGTACATCCAAACATCCTTAGATGGGAAATATTTGGTTCCTGACCGCAAACGAGTTGAATAGGGGAGAACGTATGATAACTAGTTGGTGTGATGCGTATAAGTGACGTTGCATGTAAAATTGCATGCCCTTAGGAAGTTTATAATGCATTATTAATGGTTTTGCAATTAATTGAAGGCTTTTGGTTAACGACTTAGCTAGACCATTTTGCATATGAACATGTGTATCAATATGTTCAATAGTTATCCCAATTTACATGAAATATTCATTAAAAGCTTGTTATGTAAATTCTCCAACATTGCCAAGTCGAATTTTCTGTTTTGGGTAATCGGGAAATGTGCCCTTAGGCGGTTTATTTGTGCAAGTAATCTTGCAAAAGCGAGATTACGACTGAACAACAAGCACACTCGTGACCATCTAGTTGATGCGTTTATTAAAAATCATAAAATATCTAAATGGTCCACATGGTGGATGAATTGGTATACATATATCCCCTTGAATTCTTTTTAAGAAACTAGCACTTTCATACCCAACTTTGTTTCAATGATGGATGAAAAATTAATTTTCCTTGAGAGCATGCATCACAAGACAATTCATTAGCTTGAAAAATCTTTTGTTTTTTCAAGGAATGACCACTTGAAGTTTCAATTATTATACTCATCATAATTGATCCGGGATGGCCCAACCGGTCATGCCAAACTTTGAAGTTGTTGTCATACCTTTTATTTTCAATAGCATGAGATTCAATCATTTTAATATTTGTATAATACAACCCGGAGGACAATACGGGCAATTTTTCCAAAAGACTTTTTTTTACCCGATATCATTTTTGTAATGTTGAGATAATCTTTATTACCATCAATAGTTGTTTCAACATGATATCCATTAGAATGAATATCCTTAAAACATATTTGTAATTATTGTCCCTTGTGGTAATACTATATTCGCTCTTCCGGGGCCTTCAATCATTTTTGCATTACCCGTTATTGTATTAACATTTGCTTCTCTAATTGATAAGTAAGTAA